GCTGTGCGAGGCCAAGGCTCAGCCGACTTCGGCGGAGTGAGGGGCGGAGCCCGGGCTGAGGCTTATATAGCCGCGGGGAGGGGCGGGGCTCCAAGCCGCGTCGCTGATTGGGCCGCGCGGCGCTGGTCCGTGGGGCGGGTCCCGACGATGTGGCGGGCTGCCGCCGGGCAGCCAGCACCGGGAGGCTGACCCGGCCCGCGGGCCCGACACCACCCCGCGGGGCCTCCTGCCTGTTGACCCTCCCTGCAAAACACGCCCTCCCCGCTCATTCTAGACTCCTTTAGAAAGAGGACAGCCGTCCATTCGATTTCCGCGTAGATGCTCGTTCCCCGGCCTTAGGTGTCTCTCCACTTATTTACTTACCAGAGCAGAACAGACAAAAGGAGCCCCGGTGACGCTGCGAATTAAGCATCGGGCTGCTCTTCGGCTGGGCCAGATCCTCCTGAGAGATCAGCCAAAGTAAGCCGGGAAATCCACCGGGTTCTCCCTGGCTCATTCTTAGCCGTAGCTGACCAGGCATTGCTTCTTGGAACCTGCCCAACACAGGTAACCCTGCTGGTATTTGAAATACCAGTGGTATAGCTTCCAGTATCACAGCCACACCTTAGCCACCAGCTTAGGACAAACGGACGGATGGGTAGAGGACATTTTTAAGCACACTTGACTTTTATCCATGCAAGTACAAAATAGAAGAGATGATAGCACAGGAGTAGTTTAGCAAATGCCTAGTGAATCTTTATAGATTGCATGTACAGGTGGCGTTTATTTTGTCACTGTCGGCTGCTGGTCTAAGTGATTTCTCTGCTGTTGTTATTGTTGTTAGTGGCCACTGAGAGAAATTTGTAGGCTGCAGCTTGAGCCGTCTCTTTATTAACTGCTCTACTTCCCATCAGGCCTTTTCACGCAGAAGAAAAGGCTTTCTGGGTCCTCGTTCATTTCTCACTGCCTCCATTTGAATTGGGGGCAAGAAAACTGTTCCAGCCTGAACATCTGAATAGGAATAACTCACATGGATTTCCTGGCTCAGCCTGGAGTTTTATTGGTTTTGGTCAGAGCCCATCGAGAGGTTTACAGAGCTAAGAGTATGTTCAATTTGATCTTTCCAATGTTCGAAAGCTCAACAGAACCGACTGAGAAGTTTCAGAGAGTAAATATAGGCAATGTTTTAAGAGGTGATTTCATGAAAATAAACTACCCCCTGCCCCAAAAAAGGTGTTTTTGTTTTTAATTGTCAGGGCATTTTAAGTTCTGGGTTTTGAGGCAATTTTCAGAGAAATATCTCCATTTCATATAAAAGACTCAGCTTTCTTCCTATTGTATGCGAGTGAGTGCAAAGTCAACTTGGAACCACACCTGGTGTGACCACGAGTATTGCAGTAGAATAAAAAGGATCATGTCAAGTTATTCTAGGTTCAGGGATTCCATTGATGGAAATTTGGTGGAAAAGGTAACTAAGGAAGCAACAGGGTAGACCACATACATGTGTGGGCATCAGAAGGCTTGGGATCCTTCTTTGGCTCCTAAACTGGTTACTTTTCCTCCTTGGACCGTTCTAAGTCAAGGCCCAGAGCTGTTGAATTGATTCTGACTCATAGGGACCCTATAGGATGGAGGCTTCCAGAGTTGCAAATCTTTACAGAAGCGTGGCCGTCACATCGCCTGAGTTCAAACTGCCAACCTTCCCAGTTGCAGCAAGTGCTTTAACCATCACACCACCATGGTCCCTTCCTTGGATCCTTCACACCAAACCAAACCGACTGCCGTCAAGTCAATTCTGGCAGCAATGCTCTAGGATAGGGTAGAAGTGTTCCTGAAAATGTATAAGACTAAACCTCAGAGCTGCTGGTGCATTTCAACTGCCAGCCATTCAGTTAGCAGTCAATACGTAACCTACTGTGCCAGCAAGCTTCCTCTAGGACCCTTCAAGGAGTCCTACTTCTTCATCTGTAGGAAAGGACTGAGTAAGTTCACAAGTGTTAATTTGAGATCTTTGGGCTCATAAGTGAATCCCTGGATGGCTTTCAGTGGTATATTAGCTCTAGGTCATATAAAATCCTAAGAAAAATTTGGTATTTATGTATATCTCTTGGGAAGAAGTCTTCAGCTTTGCTTTCATCAGAGTCTCGGAAGAACTCATGACAGAAAAGATTGAGATGCTAATAAATTTCTAAGCAACTCTTCATCTCTTAAGATTGATGCCTTTTTAATTTTAGCAGTTAACAATTAAAGCAAAGATCTACACCGAAAAGAAGCAAGGTTTATGGATTGTCCTTACTTACAATTAATCCATTCTATTTAAGAAAAGCTAACCTATCAAATAAAGCCATTTTGAGAATTCAGAGATCAACTTCTAGACCTAGAAAAGCTGTAGCACATAGCAAATTTATTTTATTTACATTTTATTGAGATAGAATTTATATGCAGTGAAGTACAGAAGAACAGTGCATCAACAGAAGATGGCCAGAAATTCAAGCTGGATTCAGAAGAGGAGGTGGAATGAGGGACATCATTTCTGACATCCAATGGTACCAGAGGTTGTTCACTTGTGTTCTATCGACTTTGCAAAATATATTTGACTGCTTGAATCATAACAAATTATAGGTAACATTGCAAAGAATGGGAATTACAGAGCACTTGATTGTGTTCATGTGGAATCTGGTCGAGAGGCAAGTCATTCAGAACAAAGGAATACTTACATAGTATAAAATCAGGAAAAGTGCGTGTCAGGGTTATATCCTTCCACCATAATTATTCAATCTGCCTGCTGAGAAAATAATATGAGAAATTGGTCTATGTGAAAATTGGTCATTAACAGCCTGTAATACAAAGAATAAACAACCATGCTTGCTGAAAGAGAAGATTTAAAGAACTTACTGATGATGGTCACACAATATGGTAGCCAGTCGGTATTATGCATGGACATGAAGAAAACAAAAATCCTCACAACTAGGCTAATAAGTAATATCATGTTAAATGGAAAGCAGATGCAAAGTTTTCAAGTTATTTCATTTTGCTTGAATCAAGTCAATGCTCATAGAAACAGCAGTCAAGAAATCAAACAACTTCAGAATGCATCTCACTGCCATTGAATCGATTCCAACTCACGGTGACACCATAGGACAGAGTAGAACTGCCCTGTGGGCTTCTGAGACTTAACTCTTTATGGGAGGAAAAAGCCTGCTCTTTATCCTATG